ATTGCTGCATTTCTTGAGTATAAGACGAGGTAAATTGGTCAAACATGCAGCAAATATATCTGCAATGATAACTGACAATCTCTCAAACACTTGAGTATCTGATGCTGAATGATAGCTTTCCTCATAGACCAACAGCAAACTGTTGCTTATTTTGTACATTGAATTGGCAATGATGATATTTTCAGGGAAGTTAATTGAGCTTTTCTTAGCATTTCCATTCATTCTATTCGTGAATTTCTTCAAAATTTCTTCACTTCAATTTGCAAGATTCTGAAGAGTTTCTTTGGAGGATTTTGATATCGTGGCAATTTCTTGGAGATCCATGTCTAACCACTTGTGCCTCATTTCAACTAAATCCCATGCAAAATCTGCAGCGCTCGTGCTATTCACAATTCTTTTATGAACATCCAGACTTTTCTCCATTGGGCGCACATACTTAAAACCTTCAATCACACTTCTTAATAACTGATTCTTCTCCTCATTTTGTACGTTTGGAAGAGCAATCATGATGCTTGTTAGCGTTGCCACGGATAGACTCCAGCAATTAAGAGGTTCTTCGCAAATTATTAGAGAGACTTGATCACTTTCAAATTTTAGCACACCCTCGAAGCTGGTGGATTTCTCCATAAGCTTCATTAGATATCTTGGTTGACGCTTTGCACCCATCATTATGAATGAATTAATAGAAGCGTTGATGAACATCAGGTGTACTTCTTGTACTGCCTCACTTTCTAGAAGTACAAAATAATTTGCAAGATCTTTCTCGTAACCAAGCCTGTGTTCTGATTCAATGGGATTGACTGAGGCCTTGGATTCCCCGGAGAAAAAATTCTTTATCATATTGAGCCATCTAACGGTCACGGGTTGGAGCAGCACAGAAACAAATAGTGTCGAGCTTAATAGGTTCCCAATTAGTTCCCAATAACTACATTGAATCTTGACTCCTTTGAGGTAAATTAAATAAAGTAGGCATGCCCAAAGCAATTTATTCATGATCACAATCACTATCTGAGTTATTATACAAATGTTGAGAAGTAGATTTCTAGTTTCATAAATAATTTTTCTAAGCTTCTGGTGTCGAACTTGTGATGGTAGGAGCCTCTTTTTCCACTCGATCAATCTGTTGATCCTGTAACTCTTTATTTCTAAGGAAACACTTGAGATGGTACATTTTTTAATATTTGGTATAATGTAAAGTGTAGCTAATGCCATTCTTCCGAAAGACATGATACCACAAAGAACTATGCCTACATTTTGAGTATAATAAACTAGATACACTGACCATTTATAGTCGGAAGCAATTTCTGGCTTATTGTTTGTAGTCACTTCTAATCCATCAATAGAAAAAATAAATGCATAGATCAATGATAAAACCCAGAAGTCATCAGACCGTGCCATCACTAACCGAGGATCACTTGTTTGTGCCATCACCCAGTACTTCTTCACATGATACTTTAACTTGTCGAAGACCATTATTTCGTCTCGTTGTAGTTCCTCTGCTGAAATTCTTGCGTGCAATGCGTTATACTTATGTTCCAAATGCATTTTTCTTGTAGATACTGTTAAAGCAGAAGAAATCAACATAAAGAGCGTATAAACATCTATAACTACAACCACCACTTGGAAATAATCTTCAATCACGCCTGATAATACTTGGAAGATAACATCTACAGTGTGACTCACTTTAAGGATACCAACTGCTGTCAAGTTCACAATAATTTCTCTAGCACTCATGGATCCTAGAGAAGGAATGACATGAGCAGTTGAAGCACACAAGAAAGCAATGCTACATCTTTTAGCAGCTTGATCATACGTACCTGGCATCAGGGTAGTTAGATCCATTGGTAACTTCACTGCGATGCCCATCAGAGCCAAGAAAGTAGCATTAAGAGCAACATATCTGCAGGGGAACCATAATTTTCTATGGAGCAGAGAGTGCATTTTATCAGCAAAAAGTAAAAGTGTCCATATTCCAGATGCCACAGCAGCGTATACGCCTATCCATGGCATTGGTGATTTAGAGTCAATCATTTTGTTGAATCATTCAGCTTTCTTCCAGCGACTGCACTTTGGATTTTAAGATGGGGATGCTCGATGTCATAGGAAATTTCTTTGTTATTTCAATACAACTTCAGATTGTATTTTCTACCCGTTGATGTATCCATAAAGAAAAACATATCCAATAAATTATTGGGTGAGGTTTAGAGTGGGAATACTTTTGGATTAGTAAGAGGAAATGCCCCAGGACCCCAGCCTTGAATGTTTAGTTAGTATGCTACTTAATAAGAGTAAGTTATCATTCGCACGTTAATGCTCATGATATTATATTAATTGTTGACTGACTTAAATTTTCATCATTTATTTAAGCTAAGCCTAAAATGGACAAGGTTCCTTTTCGAGCTTTCAATCTTGGTGCAAGGCATCTTCCATGTAACTTCAGGTCATCGATCATATTTCAATTTCACAAAAGTCGATGTATCTAGAGAACTTAAATTTTCATTTTCAAGTCTTTATGTTTTACTATTTTTTGTATCCTAACGTTGAAGGACGACTTATAAATAATCCAAAGTTATCGGGTCATTCTTACTACACTACTTTGAATTCAAAAGTAGTGGAAATTTCCAAAGCAACTTCAGCTTTTATTTTCAACACTTTAATGCATCAATTAAAGAAAATTATATCCAATAATAAAACCTTGCAATGAGTCATCTCAAGGATTATTTTGAATCATTCAATTGACTAAAGGGTATAGAAATTAATATATGTTGTGACTTGTCACTACATCATCATTAATATCTTATTAATAAATTATTCGCAATATTGTTACAAATTGGAATCTCTAACTGATTTGTGCCTACTTCAGATAAACAAGTCAATGGCTGAGGTAGAGATGACAATTTACCTCGTCCCGTCCCGACGGGTTGATGGGACGGGAGCGGGGCTGAGGTAGAGATGACAATTTACCTCGTCCCGTCCCGACGGGTTGATGGGACGGGGAAGGGCATAATTCCCCGCCCCGTCACGGGTCACGGGGTGGGGGTGGGGTGGGACTGTCCTGCCCCGAATCTGTCCTGTGAATTTTTTTTGGATATTATTTTTTCGAGTGTTTCTTTGAATATTGATGTTAATTTGAGCATTATTTGTTTTGAATTTTTAAATTTTGAATTTGTATTTTATAATTTAATAGTATAATTCTAAATTTTGAAAATGTATAAAAAAAAAATAATAAAATTAAATGGAGTATAGTAAACAGGACAAAAAACCGCCCCCGCCCCGCCCCGTTTAAGGTGGGGCGGGGCACGGGGCGGGTTGGGGTTAGGGTGAGACGACCCCACCCCGTTGCCATCACTAGGCTGAGGTTTAGAGTCAGAATTCTTTTTGATTAACAAGAGGAAATGTCTTAGCCTTGAATGTTTGTGTTGAGGAAATAAATTCAAACTTTCAGATTTTATCAAATACAATTTCTATACAAACAATGAATTTGAAGCTTTCGATACTAATTCTAGATGCTTCAACTAAAAAAAGAGGAGAAATAGCTATTTGAAATGGTTATATTTGAATTCCTTCCTTCCTTCAAACGAGAAGGGTGTATTTATAGATTTTCCTCCAAGTGTTGGAATAATTTGATCATTTTTAGAAAATGACAAGTGACAACCCCTTATTGGTTATCTTGTAATTGATTTAGTTAAGAATTATGCTTAACTCACCCTGCCCACTTGCTTCTAATTGAGAACCTAAATATGAGTAATGTTTCACAACCTTTATGCTAGCCTTCTTCTTCGTCGTTTCTTTACATCATTTTATGCTTCATCAACAATCCGTTTATGCTCGTGAATTTGCACTCAGGAGGTTAACATCCTAACTAAATTAATCATGCATAGAAAACCTTAAATTAAAATAAAAATAAAAATAAAAAAACTCCGATAATTTTTCAATGTTACAAATTGTGTCAAGCTAGAGTATGTTCCCCAGAGAAATGTTAAATCTATACTAAATTTAACATGCATATTCAAATCCAGACGAAAGAACACTAATAACTTCCTTGATCCAACACCAAATCTTCAAAACTCGTTCAGAGCCAAAGAATTGTGCGAGATCCTTTGCAATACCCTAAACTGATTGTTCGTCTTCCCAAAGTGTTTTACCTAAAGTTCTCATAACACTAATATAAACCTCTCATGTGAAGTAAAGAATAAAGCACACAACAATTCTACTTATCATTATGCACTTAAAGTAGCAATCAGCACCAAGATGACACAATTTTAGGGCTCAGATTTTGGAAGAGAGTCTCGCACAGTGAAGTCTAATGCCGGACCCAAATCTTTAGCACATAAAGCTTTGAAACTTACAAAAGCAGAGAAGCACAGTTTCCTCTCAAACACTAGTGCAATAGATTGGCCTTAAAATCATTGACCGTGCTTCTAATCTAATTATCTAGATTGCTCCAAATACACTGAAGTTGCTACCGGGTGGCAATCCAAGCAAAATGTGTCTTAAAGTAGAGCTCTTAAATGGGTCCGGGTTTGGACTGATCTAGTGAGTGTTGGACCACTTGGTTTGTCTCCAATTTAGGCCTAAGCTTGAAGATCAATCATAAATCATTGTTGCCCCAAGATTCATTTGTCATCACAACTTAACAATAACTGAATAATATTCCATTGTATTCATCAACAAATTATAACAACATAATGACACTTTTAATCTTCACAATATTCATATTAATGTCTAATAATATGCCACTAGGTTTTCATGACAACACAAATTTACCGAATGACTGGAAATTCACAACAGTTGTACGGCCAAACAAAAAAAGAAAAAAAAATGGATATTTATAAATAATGACTTCCAAAAAATGGAGATGTTAGAGTCTTATGCTTGGTGGTTTTCTTTTTCGTCTCCTAACTCTTCCACTTCCACTGTCACGTGAGACTCACATTGCCTTCACCAATTTCCAAAAAATATATATTGGGCAATACTAACAATCTCTTCATGTATTTTTTGGTTATTTATAATGAGATGCAAAAGAACTTGTATATTAATTTTACTTGGTGAAATTTAAATTCAATAGAAGCCTTAATAAAACTGATGTCATAGTAATGGGAACATAAACAATAATAAATTTGAGGCTAAATTTTAAGGAAACTAGAGAATAAAGGTATATTCATACCTGCTGTAGCACTTGCACGAAGTTCTTGTACATCCAGATGCCCCTCACCACTTGAAGTAGTAATAATATTCTCACCGCTAGAAGTTGGGGCAGAAATACCATGGTTAATGCTTTTGAGTAAAGTACACCACTCGTCAATATACATTGATTGATCGGGTGATAGATTTGGAATTTCACGCTTTTGAAGAGCTTTTAGAATGCCTTTGAGTTTCTCCCAAAAGGTGAGTTGCTTCCCGTACACCTTTCTCCCGTTTTTCTATGGTGCCATTGTTACATTTCTTGAGTATAACATGAGGTAAATTGGTCAGCCTTGCAGCAATATATCTACAACGATAACTGATAATCTCTCAAATACTTGAGTACCTGATGCTAAATGATAGCTTTCCCATAGACGAACAGCAAACTGTTGCTTATTTTGTACATTGAATTAGCAATTATGACATTTTCAGGCAAGTTATGGGACTCTCCATCGCATTTCCATTCATTTTACTTGTGAATTCTCATGATACTTGTTAGCGTTGCCACAGATAGACTCCAGCAACTTAGAGGTTCTTTGCAAATTATTGGAGAGACAAGATCACTTTCAAATTTTAATGCGCCCTTGAAACTGGTGGAATTCTCCATAAGCTCCATTAGATATCTAGGCTGATGCTTTGCACCAAAAATTATGGATGAATTAATAGAAGTTTTGATGAACATGAGGTATCCATCTTGCATTGCCTCACTTTCTAGAAGAAGTAAAACAAAATTTTTAACATCTTGCTCATAACCAAGCATGTGTTCTCATTCATTGGGATTGAATGAGGCCTCGGATTCCCTTAAGAAAAATTTCTTCAACATTACCAAGTACCTAATAAATATATGTAACCGAAAAGTGAATAAAATAATATGAGTTGAAATAAATTTTTTATTACTTTAAAATACAATTTTAACTTAAAATATGAAAAATGGGGCTATGTATGTACTTTTAAAGAAATAATGCACCAAAATTAGGACGAAGACTTTCCCACTCACTGGACCTGGCTACACTCCGATATTGTGGTGAAAGGAGTATTATTGTCAAATCGTTCTTCTCCCTAATGTCAAAATGCTTGGAGCATCCTGTCGGCCATTAATGTCTCACCTTCACCTCACCACCATTACTTTCTCACCTGCAGCACCCCACCATCCTCGTTACTCCATTTCCTAACTTTTTCAGTTAGTCAAAAGACAAAACCAAAATATATATATTTTCTTTTTCTTTTTTAAAAATGACTCTCTTTGATCTAATTGGTCAATACTTTAGTTCTTTAGCAAAAATTGTGGGGGGGGGGG